TTCATGAGTTTTTCACGGTTTGACTATCTTTACAAAACTCTGCTTCCTGGTAACAGTCGGCTCTGGAAGTGAATCTTTTTTTTTCTTTTTTCTTTTTACCGAGTGGTTGAAGTAAATGCACCGCATAGTGCTTTCAGCACAAACACGCATGAGTTTTTCTCAGTTTGACTATCTTTATAAAACTCTGCTTCAACAGTCAGCTCTAGTCAGAAATGAGTTTTTTTTTCTTTTGAGTGTCCGAGTGCTTCATCACAAACAAGCACGCCCACGAACTTCAGACCAATCACACATTACCGTCGACACAGGAGGGGGCTCAAAAGTTCTGCCGGCAGGTTGTGCCAAAAGGGGCTGTCGATACAACGCTGCGAAGTCGGGTGACGTAATTTTTGTCATTAAACTGCGACAACCCGTGCCAACGTCGGCAATTCGGAGGGAGTATGTTTCAGGTTTTACTGTCTGCTCAGCTCTCAACACTAGTTCTCACTAAGTGAAGCTTTTTTTCAGATTAATAATACCTTTGAGGAAAAGTAAGGAAAAGTATTTTCAGAATGGGCGAGACAGAAGCGAAGGTGGTTCTTAAAGAGACAGAGGCCAATTTCAAGGCATTTAGAAGAGGAAGTGATGAGAAGAAAAAATTATTTTCTATTTAAACATAAAAACAGTATTTAAACAACAACTAAAGGTGACATTGACACTTTATTATGGTATAGTATTTAAATAAATGCCTGAGAAACACATAATATTGGCCCTTTAAAAGAATGAAAACAAGAGCGYTTACCTCTCTGCACCTCTCACCTCTGCTCACTTGCACGTTGGACAGCTGCAGCGGGCAGCTGCAGCAGGAGATCTGTGAGAAGTGATGCATGATTTGTTTGATAAATCATTAAAATCTTCTTTTAAATCGATGTTAAAGTATCACATCTACATTAAAGTATCACATCTACATTAAAGATAACTGTGCAAGAGTTATTAAAACAAATAACAAATAAACTAATAAAACACTTTTTCTTTTGTCAGGGCTAGAAATGTGGCCCTGGGTTTGCTGACTTCTGTTCGATTAAAACAAAACTCTTTGCAGTGCTGTATTTAGTTGTTTTTGGTTTGCTTCCAGTATTGACACAAGCCAAATCCTCATTTTAAYAGGGCAGTCTGCAACACCTTTGCACTTGTTATTCTTTGAGCATGCAGTCTTAGTAAATCACACAAACCATGCCCACTTTTAACATAGTCTTTTTTAAAATTTGTGCCTGTGTTTAGTTCTRCTGGTTATCTGTGATCTTGATAAATCAAATCATTAGTCTGATGTTCACTGGCTTACAGCCCATTTTCTTCTTGCTAAGAACGATTAGCGTCAGCAGACAGCTTCAAACAGATTAACCTCAAATTTGTATTATTTGTAGACATATGTTGATACTTTCAGAGTTTGATTAAAATTTGTTTGGTGGTTTATAAGATACTTTGCTAACACTACAGACAAACAAACATGATTGCCCCCCATTTCTGGTGGAAGGCAATAAAAACTAGACATGGGTTTTTACGATGTAAAAACAAGTGTGCATTGCCACGTAGCATGTCATTGCCTGCAGCATTGGACCTGCAG